GTATTAACATGGTATTATAAAGAAAATATTATTATAAGATATTATTAAAAAACCGTTAATAAAATGAATATTGGTCCTTGTAATCTTGGAACAAAAATGAATAAACTTTCATAATTCTAAGTTGTTTCAATTTTCAATGTTTCAATAACGTTAACAAAGAGACCACAACCGCAGCAGACGACTTCAAAACAAAGGTCAGGTTAAATCAAAAGGTTTCGCGGCATCTTACATAAAACTTTTCTTATTTCATTAGCATTATGATAATGTTGTTTTAAATAAATGCTTCAGCCTAATTAAAAGTCTGTGTTTAGCTACACAAGCATTAAATTAAAATTATTATTATTAACAACCGATTGTGATGTAAATTATAATAACACATGATAATACTTTTGAAAGCACGAAGCAGTAATGTTACAACGGTTTATTATAACTATAAATATGGCTCACCATGGACGTGAATCCTGATCACGACGTCATATATTGTGTTAAAAATATTCTTTGCTAAGAATGCTCTATTTTGAGCAAGAGTTCATATCCCGAATAGCACTTAGCCTATTTTCAGCAACATATTTTGAGGTCTGGATCCACTCTCTGTATTTCACAGAGGTTTTATCAGTGCTCATGTGGCCATGATTTAAGGCTTAAAGTTCATTTCCCCAGAGTTAACATTTGCGTTTGGGGCCACAGGGGAGGCAAATCAATCTTCTGGACCAGGGGTAAATTATAGTTCTGGGCGCCAGAGGTGGAAGATATTCAACATCCACAGACAGCCGATGTGCATACGCTGAAGGCTACGAAATTTATAAGCACGATAAATGTCAGCCAATCAGAATGATTCTATCTGATGATACGCACTCCTACTACGCCCACCTTATTGTTGTTAAAGTCAGTCTGAATATATCATCTAAATTTGTAGTGCTGATCTGCGCAATCGGAAATTCACGGTAAGCTATATTAATATGGATTTTACTGTTAGTCAATTTACAAAAAGAAAGATAATAATGTAATAATGCGGATGACTTTTAATTGCCTCCAAAAGCGTCACCAAAAAATCTATACATTCCTTTTAAGTTCCATATTAATCTTATTAAAAGCAGAGGCGTTTTGGCAAACTTTCAGCTATAAAAAAAAAATATGTTCATGAATAATAGTTATTAAAAAGTATAATTGGTACATTTAATTAAAACAAACTAACTACACAACTACTTTTCTTTATTTTCCAGCTTAACTACATATTTGTTTTAGCTTACAATATTAAATTATTTATTTTAAATTGATGAAATATAATTTCCATTAGATCGTTAACAAATCAGTCACTGTAATACAAAAAATATACTTATTTTTCTAGTTGTCTCTTGAACGCCATTATGCAAACTTATCATGCCATGCCATTTAAGCCAATTCATATTAAATGAATAAATCGAAACGTATTTTTTGCACACATCATTAGCGTAAGCAGGCCTCTTATCCTAATTATATGTGAAAGAAATACGTCTCGATCGCCATTAGCTTTGGCGTCCAAAAGATTATTTTCATTTACTTAATAACAATTGCATCGGTAATAAAATAGCTCCGTTCCATTAAGTGATCTATTTATATACACAGTAGTCTTTAAGTAATATTCAACAGTTTTAAGCGAATTAATCTGCTATACCAAACTCTTACGTGCCATCTACTTATCATACGTTATTTCCAACAGACTGCGAGTGTAACAGAAAAATATTCCGACATAAATAGAAACATTGGCTCATATCTTTAAAATGAACTACGGCCCTAAAGGTCAGTATGACGACATTTTGTTTTGTAAAATAATAGATATTGACAAAATCCATGATACTAAGATCTCTCCGGGCGCCAATATGCAATGATACCTAATTTTTAGTGACATTAATGCTTAACTAATCGTTTTTATATTTATAAAATAAACATAATCTAAAATATTTTATACTAATTACTTATACTTATCGTTAAATAGAAACTTAGTAAGTACGAATTGCAATTAAAGTTAGAACAAGAGAGTATAGTCATACAAAATAGTAGATCCACATAAACATAAACAGTGTTATTAATAAACAAGGGTTAGCGTTGGAGTAAATTTACGCTGAGACTGTACTTAGTATTAGTCAACATTCATATTATTAAACAGAGAATTAGTAAAAAGATACCCTATAACGAAGTTATACGGGAATAATATTTACACCTAGAAGGTAGGAGATTTGCTTATTCTCTGTAATGAATTTGGACTAATACTTAATTGCAATTTTAGCATAAATTTACCCTGACGCTAAACCTAGTTTATTTATACCACTGAAAATTTATAAATCAAATAATTAATCAAATTTGTACTATAGAGACTTAATAGAAACAATATTCTCCTATAAATGATTTTGTTCTATTAAGAGCCATATTACATTTCGACGGTGATTTTTATGTACAAAATAACATACAGATATACAAAATAACAACCAGTGTCTTTTTTGTTAGTGAACAATAAAAAGGAGTGATTACATTCTCTTTGATATGCAAGAAAATGTCCCAAATATTAGCGTCTATCAGGCAGAATATATCTTTTTTTTATAGTAATTTGTATGTAATTAAATATTGTTTTATATTCTATACTGTTATAAAAAAAAAAACAAACAGGAACTACATATCTTTTCTATTAAGACACTCACTTTCCACTGTGTACTAAGGAGCCATCCATAAATTACGTCACACGTTAAGACTGGGGGGGGGGGGGTACGACAATCTATGACATTAGAACAATTGTAGATTTTGTATAGACAAACAGTTGACAGGAGAGGAGGAAATCATGAATTTTGTGTGACGTAATTTATGGTTATTAATAAAAATTAAAAGAGTTCCAACCGAATCAATAGCAGCAGTCACTGCACTGAAATAAAATGGCATAAATACTGGTGGTACTAATATCGTGCCCGACAACGAGATAGAAAATGACAGAGGTTAGCAAATTGTGTGGCAAAATAAGTTTTTAACTCCCTATAATTACTCGCGAACTATTATGTTAATTAAGTGAGTGATTTACATGATTATAATTTTGTAACTCGCGCCTTTGCACCCGCACATACTAATAAAATTGAATCTTGAGCACTATCGTTAATATTGCTCAAGGTACGAGATACTAGTAGCGCTAGTCGTGCCAACGCACACTCCGCGCCGCTGCGTTACCGCTCGTAATAATTTGTACGTGTACCTACATACCTCTTTTAACTACAAATTCAAAGATGGCTTTGAATTCGAATAGAAAATATTGCAGTAATAACAGAGGTCGCAAAAACATTTCACACTTACACCTCATCTATTTACTACAGAGAAAAGGACTTAGTTCTTTTTTCTGTCTATTATTTAAGGCTATTGCAATATTTAGTTATCAAATTTAACATTCGTGACGATTGAAGTACCAACAAGCAACCTTACGTGTTTAGGTTATTGTCGCTCGCTCGGGGCTCGAGACGGCGTACTATTCTATAATACTATTGTATTGTAACTTCGTGATCGTAGACAATAGACACGTGGTGGAGAAACTTCAAACTCACATCATCAAGTGCAAATTTGTAATAGGACTCTTAATGTCACCACTTCAATAATACAATTGCTATCAATGTAAAATTAGAAATACTTTTCTACAAATGAAACCAACACAATTAATTATTTATAAAGAAAAAGATCATTATTAAACAATCAACAGAACTCATCAGAAATAAACACAAAAGCTTAATATACTAATGTAATATTATTCTCTATTCGATTCGACACTCATTGTGCTGTCAAATTACGAAGAAAAAAGCGGCGAACCTTATGCGCTTTCTCTGTCTTAAAAAACGAATATAAAAATAGACAAACTAGCTTCGTCTTCCTCAGGTTACATTCAAAAGAAAACATCGTTTAATTTCTGTTTACATATACATTTGTTTCAGTTAGTAACTCTTTTTATTTCAGTTAGTAACTCTTTTTACATAGATAATAAGGTACAATATGAAAATTACACGCGTAAACTAATAACAAACAAATAAAGTACGAAAATCTTGATGAAACTTTGTTTACATACTTTTTTCCATTTAATAACTCTTATTACAAAGAAAATAGTTATAAGATGTCAAAATTGAATAAATATTTGATATACATTTTTTTTTAAATGAAGTTACACTTTTCTAGCCTTTGCATTGTAATCTCAGATCATAGAATATAATAGATTTTTAATACTCGTTGTACCACGCGGGTTGATTTTTAATGAATTTTATATTGATGTTTTTATATAATTACTTCGCTTTCTTGTCATAAGGGGCCGTCCATTAATCACGTGAGGCTCGAAAGGGGGAGGGGGGGAGGGCTTCGTCAAAAATCACGAAATATCACAAGGGGGATGGAGGTGTAGTAATATATCACGTGTATCATAAGATTTTTTGATTTTTTTTTTAATTACACGTGATTTGGTTGAAGGAGGAGGGGGTAGTCTTAAACCTCAACATGTATCACCAAGGGGGAGGGGGGGTCAAAAATGTTGAAAAAAACATCACGTGATTAATGGACGGCCCCTAAGCATAGTCAGCGCAATCCATTCTGCACATGCTTGATGTAAGGATAGAGCTATGACCGCTTTGTTTTTTGCGACACACTGATACACTTTCAACTTCGATTAAATTAAAAAAGGAAGATATAGTACACACATAGATAACCAATAAATTGTCCTAACCATAAATAAACACGACTCACCTGCACAATTACAAATTCGTGCAAGCGAGACGAAACGACGAGATTCAAGGTAAACTTGAGCGAGATGGGAAATCTAACCGTACACAGGATTCTAGTACCGTATCTTCTCTTTTAATGAGAATCGAAATATTATATATATTTGTTGTGCACCCAAATATCCGCAAACTATTATAAACTTAACTGCTTATATAATAAAGTTTGTAATCGATGTAATACCGACTGCAGATGAGGGTTTTTTATTATCATTTTTCTTGTAATTCTGCTATACAACAGTAACTGTCAATTAATATTTGTAATACTTTATATTTTTATCTATTCATAAGTGACATTCTATGATCTGAGATTGCAAATCAAAATAAAGGTTTATTTGATTTATTGGGGGCACTGCCCCACACTGATTCTCAAATATTGTTCATATCATAGAGAACTTGGGCGATCGTTCGAGAAGCTTCCACACTGCTCAGAGCGATTGATGCGAGATGCGCCTCGTAGGAACGTAGTTGCCTGAGATAAAATTATACTTTTAGTTTTTTTATGACATAAATATACTATAAGTAATAAGAAATTGATTTTGGCGCTTCAGTTACCAAACTTACCGTCTGCCTGTATTGGAGTATATGACAATATTCCTCAATATGAGAGCAGCAGTCAATCTGATACTCTTTGTGACAGGACCTTCGTTCTCGTCCTACAAATGAAAAAAAAATCATACCTTTTAAACTGAACAAGCTTCATAGTTATATATAAAATATTCCAAAAAGAACCTTTGTAAATTACTTATTATGAAACATAATAAAAGACCTAATTATATTGTGGTGTAAGGTGCTTTTTGGTTTGCATATTTAACAACAACAAACTGTAAACGACACAAAACTACAACAGCAACATACAATGATACTTACTGATGAATTATGAATTACACTGGTATCTTTAGTCGAGGGAAGTAATCACCTGAGAATATGTCATAACTTAAGCACATATTTTTACCAAATAAACGAAAATTTAAATGTAGTAATAAGTGTTAAAAATTAGAATACTATTATTATAAGTTATTAACAGTTTTTACTTCATTAAAATTATCGATTCTTGATTAAAACATTTATTTAAGTTATGACATTTTCTCAAGTAATTACTTTTCTTGACTATAGATAGATATAGTGTTAACGATGTTAAGGTACTGGCTACTAAATGACAAATGGAAATTAGCAAAATAAAAACACACAAAGAATAAACTGATATATAGATTACTATATAAGAGCCCCTTTAAGTAATTATTAGAAAGAAAAATATTTCAATATTAATTTTAATTGTATTATTATTTACATAAAGTTATAAAACTATCAAATTTTATGAGATTCATTATGAATCTTTACACATTAATAGTAAAATTCAAAACCGATTGCACTATCTTGACATTATGATATCTGAAAAGTTATTCTGCTCTCATTTTGTTATAAAAATATATAATATACATTTAAAAATATAAAATAGAAGTTGTAGCATCAGAATTTACTTAATTGCAATTATCATTTATTTTATTAAGTTCAAATTATTTCTCAATTATAATAAATACAATATTAATATTCTGAATCGCAGAAATCAAATAAATATAATACTCATATACTCATAGACTATGGATAGAAAGCCGTTAATAAATAAATAAAATGTATTTATGTACAAATACAATATTTTAAGAGGTCTATTACATATCCCTTAACACTCCAAAATTCCTTGTTTTTCCTTGAGTCTGCAACACAACAGAGTGTCATCATCATGACTACATTAAATTGATTTATTTAATTTATTAACATATTTTTTTACTGTGATTTTTTTACGAAAACAGATGTCGCTTAGTTAAATAAGCCTCACAACCATCGATTTAATTATAAAGAAAAGACTGTTATATAAAGACAGTCAATCTTATTGGATGCGCGTGCCAACTGAGTTCACGTCATAGTATTTGTAACTGTGCGCAAAAAAAATACTGAATTTAATAAATGTAAGACGGTCGTAGGGTCTTAACTATAACACTAGTAAAGTTTTTGGCATAAGTGCGCTTGTAATAGGCCTCTTCAATTCAAAAATCTACTAACGAATATAGACAAACACACAAAACGAACACAACAAGCTTATACATAGTGCGATGCGTTTAATCTCACCAATTGCTCCTGCGTGCGGCTCTGATCGGCCCTGTGCTGTACGCGCAAACATACACACACGTTAGTGACGTCACACCGTGTACACGTGGTGGTGGGGCCAGAGGGGGTATAATGGGGCCCGAAACAAGGCAATCATTTAACTCGATAACTAAATACATGAGCGAATTTCACGAGTTGTCGACTAAGACCGAACTTTTGGTTTATTTTTTATGAACTATTACAAAAATCAAATTATCAACACAATTAATATTTTAATCCAAAGGTTTAACAGGAATGTATTATTACATGAATGTTTTATTACGCAATATTGAAGTTTAAATTAATTGAATCTTTCCCTAGACTGAACTCTAACAAGCGATTTTTGATTAAATATATTTTTTAATATTTTTTTTTGCAAACTGGAGCATTACACCTAATGCATTACTGATGTTATCACCTAAAGTCTGATAGTTGAGACAACTGTATTTTTTCAACTATTTTCTAAGATTAATTTTGAACGTAAAATATTTTAAATACCTATTTCAGGGCCCATTATTCACATGGTATATATGACAAACAATTATGACTTTCCTCTTAAAAATATAAAATTTCAAATATCAAATAAATGATCTGCGATTTGACAAATGCATTTTGTTAAAATTATTTGTATTATATGTAACCATAAGCTTTTCGACTAGTAAATGATATGTGGCGAACAATGAAATGTGTAATTAGCCGACTTAATATGTGCTATAAAATAAAAAGTATAATCAAACTGAAGACCCTTACTTTAAAAGTATATTTCATGTACATTTTTTATGATATCGATGATTTCGTTCATCAGTCTTATCTATATTAACATATACATTTGACGTCATCGAACTTAGACATCTTATTGGTTACCATCCTATGTACAAACGTCGCCCTAGTCATACAATGGGATTTAACACAGGAAACTCGTCAGTTTCGTAATTGAAACTTTATGAATTTCAATTGCAAGAGCGCCAAAAAATCAATATCACTTAATGAAAATTAAACTCTCTTTCGAGTATTTTAATTAATCAAGGCATAGGTGTATCGCCAATTTCAAAACATTCAAATCAATTGATTGAAAAAGAAGCTAACCTATAAAATAATTTATGATTTCATGAGAAATACATTTTCTTTATATCACTGAGACGGCAATATACATATATCGAATTTTAACTGATTTAAACAAAAAAAATTTTTTCTCTATTTCAAGTAGTTACCGTTAATTAAAGCAATCATGACGCAAATACAAATGCGCTGAAGTGGTTTCATTTAATTAACACAAATATGCTTATACTGAACTTTAAACATTATCCAATTATAGTTTTTTTTTTTTTTGTAGGCAAGTTTTCGATGGATTTAAAAGTGCAATTGGGGATTTGAAATTGGTACATTCAACTTATATCTATTGTTTTATACCATTTTTACGCTATAGCCACGAGTTAGTTGCTATGCGATGATTGAAATGACACCCCTTGACGACCCAAAATATATAAAAGTAGGGATCACATAAGGAAGGCTACCTATAAGCGGAAACACTATCTGTCCCTGATTCTCTCTCTCTCTCTCTCTCTCTGCTGGCCTAGCTTCCGTCTTGGACTGATATACTACTTTTCCGATTACGACCGAAGGGATACCAGAATCGTCTTTTTCTTTCAAACCAAGGCCTGGTTTCCGTGTTATATTGTATCTCGTGATAAATTTGGTTACACGACAAATTACATCGTTTGCTCGTACGACTGTATGCAAATAGCGATCAGGTTTTAATTACATTTTAAATGAAAAATAACCTTACCATAAGTTCCCTAGGGTTGAACATATCAGCAGCGTGCTTGTTCAGCGCTGCGAGCGCAGCGTTAGGCGGATAACCTAGAGATACTGGCTTGTTGCTGTCCGCTTCGGCAGCAGTATGACGTCTAGCGTTATATATCGCTTTCAAAGCCTAAAATAACAATGTATAATATTAAAGGTCATACAACACTTACACACACTGCCCCAATCAGGCGATTAACTCGCCATTTAGCATTTAATCGTACGTGATATAATAAAGCAGCTTGTAGTATCAATGGACAAATTTAATGACAAGTTCATTGCTGAGTAGGAGTCGTGCCGTTTCAGTGTCCTATAACCTTTAAATAATTATGTTCAATTTGTGCTTGGCAACTGTGTAGGAAGACAAAACAAAAAGTACATTTTCGATATAAAGAAATAAACGGAGCTATAGCAAAATATAATTTACACAATCACATAGCGCTTATAGGTCGCTAGATAAAGCCAATCATGATTTCGCTGTTACACATTAAATTTAATTTGTTTCAGTACAAACTTTGTTATAATTCAAATAAAAAACAACACTACGAGAACAAACAATCAAAAGTTAGACTACGCAAAAGACTTGCGTTAGTGCTATTGATAGTGATCTAACGAATACAAATTTATTTATTTTTTCATTCAATAAAATAAGTATGCAGCATTGACGCCAATTATAGAAACTTATTATGTTTACAAATCTTATGTTTAATAATCGCAGACTTAAGACAATTTAAAATATGTTTGTCTGTTTTTAACATTTAAGTAACAAACGCGTATTTTGCACAGATTACTGATTAAAAAATAAAGTGTCCATATTCAGGACCTTATTTAATCATTCGTATTCCTAATCATCATCATCAGCCTTTTTACGTCCCCACTGCAGGGGCTCAGGCCTTCCTAATGGATGGTTAAGGAGGACGGGCCATGACCCTCCACGCTGGCCCAATGCGGATTGGAGGGTATTAACGACTGCATAATGCAGCCGGGACCAACGGCTTAACGTGCCTTCCGAAGCACGGAGTAGCTCGATATAATAATTTTTTGGTCACCCATCTCGGGACCGACCCTTGCGAAAGTTGCTTAACGACAACGATCGCAGGCCGCGGCGCTTATTCTAACTACTCTAATCAGTAAAGTTTTATTCCTAATCGGTAAAGTTATATTTGATACATCGCTAGTTACCGATTTGTATAAAGTTAGTACTCACGTGAGGTGTACAATGTTTGTCGGTGAGGTGGTTCAGTAGAGCGAATGTCTTCCTCGGCACTCGATCACAGTCCAGCCACATACATGGCGCCTCGCCCGCCGCACTCGGCGGACAGTGTACTCTAGCCGCGTGCGAGAACACCTCCGTCGAGTTTGCGAACGTCCTACGATAATAGGGAATATGCATCTAATTAAAAAAGAAGATTAAATATATTTTATAACGATCATTATTAATTGTTTATGATAATATTTTTTCAACATCAGCTCGTTTTTCCCTTAAAAATATTTATTTTAAAGTGCAAAAAAATTCAAAATATTCAAAAAAAGTACACGTATAAAGATACGTGTACTTTTTTGAATTTATGCCGTTGTTATTAAAAGTTAACATCGATGCGATAACATCATTGTATTACGTCGTAAAATAAACAACAGATTACGATTTCCATTATGTTTTAGGCTTTTATTTTTATTTCACCGATTTAATAAACTATATAATATTTAAAAAAAAGTATATTATACTTTAAAAAATCGTTTAGTTTTAATCGATTTGGGCAATTGAATTATAATCAATCATTCGAAATCCGTATTATTTTAAAATGTCATATCTCTAGTCGTGTACTTTGACGTCCGACAAGCGCGCCAAAAATTCCGGCGCTTAAACTGCTCATAGTTATTACTTATTTTCATATATTATTATTGTTACTAAATTTTAAAGTTTCGGTGCCCGGTATATTTTACAGTTATATGAAGATGCAAATTATCATATGTAAACATTAAAAAAAAAAGTAACAAAACAAATAAGTAACTGTTTAATTTTTTGCCGACATTCAATGATTATATGATTAATAAAATTATTTTTTATTTATAACGGAAGAAATAAATAATCTATTTATATTATATATAACAACGTGATTACTATATGAATTTATGCGCAAACAGTGAAGTCTAATAAAATTTTGAAATATGAATTAGAATTAAATCATTGAAAATATGTTATATGTCCTAACAAAATTTAAATGACCTCGAATTATATATTGACAGAAAAAAAAAAACAATCCTATCTTACTATAAATATGTATTACTACTAACTTGCCACATCCCCTCCAGTGACATATCCAGGGCGTGTCTTCCTGACTGCTCACTTGTTGAAGCTGAGGAGGAGGCGTGGCTGAAGGCTTAGGTGATGGAATCTTCGCAACCTATACAATTAATTACAAAATGTAATTTATCTATTTCTAATTTTATTAAACTTTAGGTTTGGTATACTGGCAGAAATGAATTAGAAACTTGATTGCAGATATCGTTTTTATTTTTTTATCTCTGACTACCTGTTTTCGCGACTTCACCTGTGTAAATTATATTCTATGTTAACCATTTCTGTTGCTTCCTGTAGATGAAAGAAATTTTATAACTGTCCAATCCTTTAGGAGCCTATTCGTTGCAAGCAAGCAAACAAACATTAAAAAAAATTCCTCTTTATAAGACTAGTATTGACTAGGAAGGAAGGCCTGAGCCCCTGCAGTGGGGACGTAAAAGGGTTGATGATGATGATAGACTAGAAGCCCGCCACGTTTTTGCATAAATATGTTCATCAAGGATTATACCCAGGACCCAGTTGTTTCGGAGCCAATTCAATGTTAACAATAAAAAAAAGTCTTTATAATATTAGATGAGATAATAATTTTAAATATTTTTCCCTGATTACAATATTTTCTTACATATGACTCTATTGTTAAGTTTGCACGCAACAAGACTAGTTTACCTAATTAACTATTATTATGAACATAAAATACCTCAGTCACGGGTACAGGTTGTGTGACGACCATCTCTTTCTCACCGATCTTGGTATTGCCTACCATAACTGGTTGTCTCGTGATCACCTGACGCATCACCTGTTGCTGAGGCTTCTGAGAATAATATTAAACGGAATATGCTTACTATATATCGATTCGATCGAGTTCTAAGCACTTTTATCATCCATAAACTACATCACATGACATGAAGTCAACGAATTGTGACACGAGAACAATATTTAGTAGAATTTTTATGAACAATCTATAACACAGGAGGGGGAGTTGTCATAATTAAGAAATTCGTGTGACGTAATTTATGGATAACCCCTATAAGTATCACAGTAATAGTGAATGTGAAGATGAATATCACTAGGACATTGGAAATACCAATCAGAACGCATGACGTCATCCATGAGTAATTTGGTGAAATATCTTTCAAGAAAAACGCGGGAGACGTTCAAAGTGTAAAATAAACCTTAATGGCTTACTGAATGTATCAACAAATAAAAAGGGTTATTGTTTGTATTTTATTTATCTGTGTGTTTGAATATAAAAATAGCATACGATAATTCAAGTTTACTCACTGAAAAACCCGTTTGTTTATACCACAGATGACGTCACATCCTGTGAATTGCCTATACGGCAGCCTTTTTATACGGTAAAAAAAAATATTAAGCATAATTTTGTGTACGTACTTAAGAAGACTTATTTACGTAACATATATTTTTTTAAATCAGCGTCTAATATAATCTATAGTTACCGTAGTCGTTTGAATAACAGTAGGTTTGACATCGCTCTGTACAGTACTAGGTTGGCTGACAATCGTGGATTGAACATTAGTTACAACTTGACTTCTCGGCTGCTGCACAACTCTGTGAACACCGGGTTTCATCGGTGCATTCACTATTATCTGCTGGTTGTTAGAAACTGCTATAATTTGCTGATTGCCCTGTAAAAGTTGTTGGTTGCCCTGAATGATCTGTTGATTGCCCTGCATGATTTGTTGATTGCCCTGCATGATTTGTTGATTGCCTTGTATGATCTGCTGATTGCTTTGTATGACAGGTTGATTGCTTTGTATGATCTGTTGATTGCCTTGCATAATTTGCTGGGTGCCCTGAATGATTTGTTGGTTGCCGGTTATGATTTGATTGCCAGACGATGTGCTTATAAGGGCGGGCGGTTGTTTCTGTGTAACCACTATTTGTTGACCCTGCGGTTGATTCACAATCTGAGCTTTGTGTGGTTGCGGTTGAGTGGTTATTATAGGTTGCTGGCTCGGTGTGATTTGAGGAGTATTCTGTGAACAGTAAAAATAATGTTAGCAATATTCATTACTTAACTTTTTTTTTCTAACGCTACTATTACTTTTCACCAAAACTAAAGAATAATATAAACTAAAATACTTAACTACTAAAATAATAAAAATATGTACCGAAGCACCCACTACAGAACAGATTTTAGAATCCTTGACAAACGAGAGATATTTTGTATTTTAAAGACGTTATACATTAAATCCATTGGAATTATATAACGTTTAATTCTACTTTTAAAAAATCTAGTAGAAGTTGGCAGTTTTTTTTTATTTTTTCTTTTCTTAATAAATTTGAAAGTAAATGAAATAATTAAAACACGTGTTTGTCATGCATATGCCAACTATGTCTACGCTAAGAAGCACATTGGTAAAAGTAAAATGATAAGCGTTTCGAGATATTTTATAGTAATGTGGTATTTTTTGAAACGCTAACAAACTTAAACTTTTTTTTTAGTATTAAGTTATCTGATAAACGCTTATTGCGAGGTTGCAATAAATAGTAAAAAAAAATAAGAATAGCACTAACTGGCTGTTAGTGCTATTCTACGATTTTACTGCTGATATGTCATCGTAACTTTATATATTTTTTCTTTATTATCTAACTTAGTGAGATTTGTTTACTATAATTGTATTTCTTTTTTTTCTGCGACTAAACTAAGCAAGCTCTAGCTTCACTCGATATTAAATTGTTTTCTTAAAATACTATTCACCATAAAAAATAGCGGTTATTATTTCAATTTAGTAAATAATATACAATAAGTATTATAAATTATTTGTCCTTCATCCACGTCGTAAGGGAACTTTGATAAGGTATGATGCTTTTGTGTGGATCGAGTTATTTTCTTATACTACTGTTCCCCGTTCAATAACAGAAATCATCGAAATTACTTAAAACTCAACAAGGAAGAGGTAAACAAAATAATCTTTAAAATTCTCGATACGCTGATCATAGTACTGAATATGTGCATAGAACCTGCGCAATGGCCGTTTTGACCACAGTGATCGGCTGTGCCGTGCTCACTAACGTTGGCTGACTCACAATCACCCGCTGCGTGGACTGTATCACGCCCGAGTTCTGTGCATGCAATAAACAACTTTGTCACCTTGTATTTGTGGTACAATATATTTAAAATTATACTTTCGTGACTTTTATTCATACATGACATTCCTTTGAACCGTCCTCCGAAAGAGACGATAAATATTATATATTGTCATTTTGTCGATTTAAGATCATCAATATATGCAAGATTATTAATTTTATGACATAAATGAATAAATTTCACAATTTTATTATAACTTAAAGTTATATTTATACATATAATTATTATTAGTGAAGCAATAATAATTATCCTAAGCCCTTTTATTGAAAAAACACAAAGAGTGGGTGGATAGAATCGTAGAAGTCGCTAATTTGATGATTTTTATTTCTCATAGAAATGTCTGTAACTTGCAAAACATTTATATATAACCAATAACCAGTGATCATAATCATATAATAATCAGCATAAGTAGGAGCTTTTCCTTTAAAGAACCACAGAAGAACCACAGATGTGTTAATATGGATACGATCCTGAAATTTAAGGTCGTAATGTTGTTAAAAAAATGTAACAATCCTGTTGAATGTAGTTAAGTTACATTTCAACAATTTATATTTACAATATTTAATAATAGTCATACAATATTTGCAATTTGAATGCAAGAAACATTAAAGTGTGTTCACCTCTTTTAAAATTTAATATGAATTGCTGAATAATGATTCTTCATTGTAATTATTTAGATATTAACCAAAAAAAAAATTAAACAGATTCAAAGGCTTATCCATGCTAAGGCAATGTACACTACCAATAATAACCTCTTACAGGTATAAATATGACACATACTTGTGCACTTGATTCGTAATAATAAAAGAAATACATAATATAAACTTAAAACAATCATCTAATTAGCGTCGTGTATTTATAATCGATGTGACGTATTTTTAAAGTCACGACAATAAAAATCCAATACCTATTTCGTTTTTCTTTTAGGAAGTCAATTATTTTGCGGCGTTACATAAATTCATATGAAGTATCTTTCAAATCAAAAGTGTTACAATTTTTATGAATTTTAATGATCATTGTTCTATTAAAAAAACCTTTGACCTTTTTCAAGTTCTGCATATTATTATTCTTACTGGTGGACAAGTAGAAAACGCCTTTAAACAATGTAGGTTACATATTTTAGGCAATATATAATAAAATAAGTAAGTAAGCACTGTGAATGTTAATTTATATGATGAAATGAAGGTTAGAATGAAATGCATTTTCTAATTAGGAAATATTAACGGCTCATTTACATTAATAGATGCGGGAATTTGTGCAGCAATTAAATCCCCATTGCGCCTGCGGACTTCATCTAACAATATAAATGAGTGAAATTTGTAGAAAGATAGTGAAGGGCCCATGATGATGAGGTTAGTGACAGAAGCGTGACAGAGCTACTGATTCGTAACCTGAATTATTTGCTGTTGGGTTATAGCCTCTGTTGCCTGCGCAATAACGCTGTTTAAAGTTGCCTCGTCCAGGCCACCGGGATTGTTCACCTTTATAAAGTTTAGAACAATGACATTTGGAATTGTATTCATAATATTGTGTTTTATTTTGCTTAAATATCATGTCCCCTTGCAATAACACAATGACAGTGACTATTAGACATCTCAGATAAAAGACATAATAATTTAGGATCGAAATTCCGTTAGAAAATTCCACTTTAGCGACAATTATATGTCACAGAAAATTATTTCAAAACCGGTAGACAATTTCCTTACGATCAACACCTAATAGAAAACATGGAAATGTCAAATTTAAGCAATGAAATGTCAAATTGACATTAAATTACGGCATTTTAAGATTTAAAATCAAAGGCATTGATTGTTATCATTTAGTAAAGACATTTTAGTCAGACAAAGTATCAGCTTTAAAGATAGATAAACATCAAATCTATTTGGGATTTAGGACGAAAAAGTTATCTATAAAGTTATATATATTGAACTCAGTAATAATATTATTATCTGTTGAACTCAGTAATAATATTAATTAAACATGAAAGGTGAAATCTTTAAAAAAAAGTTTGTTCAATTAAATTATAGAAATTTTACTTAAAAACTTACCGTCAGAGTGAGAGGCCCACCTCCCGTTGGACCTTGGACTATAATAATAGTTTTCTGCATCATATTGCCAGGTATGTTTTGAGCTATATAACTCAATCCACCTAAAGAAAATAAAACATATTTTAAGCATCTTGATACAAATCACAGACGTTTCCTAACAAATTAATCTCCAGGACACAATTAAAGGACTTTGAGTGTAAAAAAAATTACGAAATTTTAAAAATTGCTATCAACGAATCAATGTTTATAAAAAAAAATACCTTGTGATGTACTAGGTGTTGCAATAATCTGCATCGGCTGCTGAACATACTGTGCAGGTTGCGAAGATAAAGTTTTTTCTAGAATGAAATATAAACAAATTATTGCAAGTGATCGAAGAAGGGTAATTTAATGGGTGTTATTTAACGGGTTAGCATAGTATTCACATTTTTGCTAGCAGAAAAATGTATTCTGTCAGTTGAAATATATGATTGGTCAGCAGACCATGGCTAGCAAACAATATCAAATCAATCGTCAATTTTTTACATTCTGGACGGCTGTAATTATTTTTTATTAGCATAATAATCATATAAGCTGCAATGAGTGACGCATGTTAAATACAATTTTGAACAGCACTTAGAGGGAAGCAACTAATCTAATTTTGTGAAGCATATAAAAATAGCAATAATGACTGGCGCAAAGTGGTCGCATTCCTTACAAAAACAATGAATGGGTATTTACAGTAAACTAGTGTGACTCTGTGTCCTAGTGGTTAGAGCGTTAGGCTCTCGATCCGAAGGTACTGGGTTCGATTCCCGGTGGGGACACTCTCAAATATTTCTCTGTAAGTTTTTCCCAGTTTGGTTAGGACATTGCAGGCCTGAATCACCTGATTGTCCGAAAGTAAAATGATTCCGTGCTTCGGAGGGCACGTTAAGCCGTCGGTCCCGGCTGCTACCTACAGTACTCATATAACACTCGCAAAATATCAAAATTCACACAAATTAACATAAAACAAGTTGTTATCACTGTAATTTGACAGCTACTAATCGCCGCATAGACACCGAATGACAATACACGCACGCGATTGGCTACTAGTATCATGCGACTACTCTTGCTCTGCCCACTTTTAACGTACATTGCAGACTTTTCAATAAAAATGCAAACCAATTAGTTATTCTTCTAACCATGCTTTAAATACGCAAACCGATCAAATGAACTGCTAACCGGACAAATATTTCTTGCTGACCAATCCTGAATCTTTCTGATCAAGTAGTTATTTTGGGGATAGACTGTTTATTTGACATACACATATTATTTTAAGCTGACTGGATATGATTAAATTACTGATCATTATCAAGATTATTTACGAAACAAGGATTGCCGATTGTTTTATTTTTCTTGCATACAAAATCTTTAAATGCTGATCAAACGATTAAAATACTGATTTTTGTGGCTAACCAAATTTTTTTATGGCTGACCTTTTAATTACTTCTCTAATTTAATAGGGGTCTTTAATCTGAAACGTATACATTGATATGGATATTCCGCTAGGATTGATAATTTTTTTTTCCGGAATATAAGTAGATAGGAATGTATAAAAATTTTAATTCACATTAAGTTTTGTTATCAAAAAATTATATATGATCAAATAACAATGGGTTTTGATACCATGCTTTCAATTCGAAATTATAGCAATAACATCACTACCAATATAAAAATGTTCCTTACCTTGAAGTATGATCTGTCCAGACTGTGAAGCGATTATGTTCTGCACGTCCATCGGTTGCACTTGAAGCATTGGTTGCTGAACCTGCAATGTAGGCTGTTGTACCTATGCATAACATGAATGTGTAAAAGCTCAGTTTGCCAAAGAGAGAAAACGCGGGAACGACAGGAACAGAAAACGTCTGCAGTCCAACACGGCCACATTATTTTATAATCGGACACTAACTAAATTACTCAAACATTTTACGTTCTTATTTTCATTGTCATTTATATAAACATATCCATAATTGCTCGGTTTATTACCATACACAACACAAAAGCGATGTTTTCAACAGCTTAATCCATGTCAAAACATTTGATAAAATACCTGTAAGGTTGGCGCCTGAACTTGCAATGTTGGTTGCTGTACTTGTAAAGTTGGCTGTTGGACCTGCATAGTTGGCTGCTGGACCTACAATATCATAATAAATATAATATGAAACAAAGTAGATTCAGTATACTACAACTCAATATTAAAATTTCGTTTAAACCTTTTTGTAGTTATTTGCCGCAAGAGGTCGCATTCTAAATGATATAGACCCACCTGCAAAATAGGTTCTTGTATAATAACTGACGCTTCACCCGCACCGGATACAAGCACCGGTTGTGGTATCGTATCAACCGGTTCCGGTTTCGGAGGGATCTATTGGAAACACAAAAACGTTGAAGTTTAGTTTATTAAAATGTGCGTTTCGGTTCTTGTAATTTACATAGTTTAATCGCAAGTTAATTTTGCTAAAACAAATTATACTTACAATTTATTTCGAAACAAAATATACTTCATGATCATTTTTAAAATATAAATTACCATTTCTAACCAAAGTAACCAATTATAGGAGCTACTACGGGGTTGTTGATGTTTACAAATAACCCTGTATATTTACGACAGATTCAAAGCGAGCTGGCCTTACCATTTATAACTCTTCATGCACACTTGCGCTTCCATAGCTTATGCCATTACTTTCTCACAGCACGCAATAAATACAATCGCAATACGTTCGTTTTGTCTTCTTCAGACTTTTACATACTTCACCTCCCAGTTTTTTTATACGGCATTCTTTTCAAAAACAAGGCATATATGTATACATATGTATGTTTTAAATTATACACTAACAATATCATTCATGCCTTTCGAAAGCCTATAAGCGTAAATTCTACATCACTCTCTTCATCTTCAAAGCGTTTATTTTACTTACTTGATCTCTCTTTCATACATTAGTGTCTCACTGTTTTTAGAGTTAGAAGCGCTTAAGTTTTAAACACTAATCTATAATAAGACATATATTAATATAATTAACAGTTTTGTTTAGATATTATTGTATATCTATATACATGTTAACAATAATGAAAGTGGTTAGAATACATTCTAACACATTTCGTTATAAAATATTCCTGTTTATAGGATATTAAGTTGAAACGTAAGATGAATTGCATTTTTAATCATTATATTTTCTCATTTAAAATATTTCAGTTTCTAAATTTCAAAAGCTTTTCAACTTTTATGGAGCGCTATTTTAGACAAATAAAAGAATAAAAGAACTTTGATATTACCTATATTAGAAATTGCAAACTTATCTTTACAAATCAATAAAACACTTCCATTGATTAAAAATAAAAAAAAAACAAAACAAAACTCTAATTAGTCAAAAGAATGAAACCATGGCAACCCAGCTTAAAGGAAAAAAAAGGAAAAGAACTAAATAAATCTGACTACCTAATTTTTCCCTAAAGCCACAAAATAATAAGTAATACTACGTAAAACAGCTATTATTTTAAATTATGAACCTTGCCACGTAAAGCACCAGCTAATATTATTCCAGATGGCCGCTACATCCAGTTTCAGACATGGAAATTATTTAAGACAAACTTTAAGATCACGATAGGAGTTATCATGGGCGTAATCAAGGAGTAATCAAAAGTAGGCAGATTGCTTATTTACATAATAAATAAATGAAAATATTAAAGTCTAATATAGTCAAGGTTGCCCTTTTATTTAAGCATTAAGCGAATTCAAAGACGATTATAATAATATTCTTTATTATACACACTTAATAAGTTCAAAATATGAACATTATTAATAGTATAGTCATAAGGTCTCGACTTTCAAGAAATGCTTATCAACCTAGACTGCATAAATTTTAGATTTGATTCAAATTTTACGAGGGCGGTGCTATTCAAGAACTTTGAAAATAAATCAACATGATTAAACGATAACTCACCAGATCCTCATCTTCCAAAGCGGAAGCAGCAAGAGCAGCATATAGATTAGCTGCCGTTTTAGAAACGCTTTCTTGAGGTGAAGAAACCTAAAAATTATTTATACTAACATCAAAATAATATCAAAAATATAAACCAATTTCGTTCTAAAGCTACGCTAATATTTTCCAATAAAAATAATTTTATGAAAATTAAACATATTGTCGATTGTTTGCAAAAAACAGAAATATGAATTTCAATAATTAACTTAACAGAAAAAATCGCAAAGATGCCTATAAATAGGTTATTTGAGTCAATTTTAGGATTAATATATTTCATCTTAACTATGTAAAAAATCTATACAATAATAGATTTTAATATAATCTAAAGTCACCAAAATTTTTTTTTATAGGTGCGTTTTGTTTTTCATTGAGTAAGGGGAGGTTGAAGAGAGCCTTAAGCGAAAATGGAAGCCAACACTTACAGCAATATCAGTAAGGATATTAGTAATATTTGGACTTAGGACAATCTAAAAACATTATAACGCCCAAAAATATTACATAAGTGGGGTAGATGTTTGACACTCAAACAAGACTATTGTTACGATGTAATCTTAAGGTATTGCATATTTTTAATATTGACCCATTACCCAAAGAGCTTTCCTTCTAGGGATTCAGCATGATTTTGCGATTGAATTATTGAATATTTATTAATACAAAAGGGGACTGCATGCTTCTGTTACCTCTCAATTTTTTCAACACTTAATATAATTATTGAGAGCTTTTTATAAAAAATTATGGTTAAAAATACAAATGCCAATTGAATTTCAAGAAAACAATGAAACTATCTCATTATCAAGATTATTCGATATAAGTTGAGCAGTAAATCGCAGCTTTAGATATTTTAAATGATTTTTTGAACAACTCAGCAACATAGCACAGTACTGGGTACATCTCTAATTTAAAACAAAACTATTTTTACCACATTTGATTACAAAATGAAACAAAAACGAAACTACCCACCTCTCTCTTGTCCTCCAGTTTAGATTTCTTGGTTGGCGGTTCTGTATAAGAATGGTCTGTGATGACCGTATCCACAATCTGCTCTTTCTCCGTCTTCAATGCCTGCAAAACGGCCTGCTGTATCAGGTGTCCACTCTGCACATTAATTTGACCCTCGTTCTTAACCTGAACTATCTGACCGTGTTCATTTTTAAACTGCAACACGGACCCTTGCAGTTCACCCTTCAATTGAATGAACTGGTCGTTCTTTATCTGCATCTGGTCGTTCTTTATATGAACCATTTGACCCTGATCGTTCTTTATTTGAAAGTACTGATGACTAGATTCCGGATTGATTTGCATAACGGGGTCAGTGTCTGGTTTCACTTGGACTATTTGACCGGTCTCAGTTATCTGGATGGTCGGTGCGTTTATCGTTTGGCCCATTTGAACTACTTGAACAGGGGGGTTAGATTTCTTCTCGAGCAAATCTGCGAGCATTTTGTTCTGAGCGGTTTTCTAAAATAAGTGTTTTGATTAATAAATCCTTTCCAGTATTACACACTATTTGACTTATTATACCTTAGGCAGTGAAAATACTTACAATGGTCAATTGTGCCTGATCGTCTATTTGAATTTGAACCGGTTCATCTTTTACGACTGTAAATATATATTAAAATATTAAGTATTGATATGGTTTGAATAGAATAATTAAAAGATATTAATATATTTATTACCTAATGCTTCCTCTGGTGCGTTTATAATAACCTGAAATAGAACAGATTAAAATATTATTTATATCAGATATTTTTGCAAACAAAACGACTGAAAACGTTTTCAACATTGCTTTATTAAAGTTTATTCGAGTCAGGAAACGGAAGTATTATTAGATTGTTTAGACACCATCAAGAGACTTTGACCATTTTATACTTTTTAACCAGTACTTATTTATGCAAAAGGAAAATCATAGCTAAATATAATGTATATATATATATATATATCAAGCGTTATTTTTATAGGATTAAAATCTTGTCGTATAAATGCACTTCTTATTATGTTATTTAATCAATTATACGTCTGGGAAAGATTAATTTTCTTAACAATAAATGTACTTTTCTCGACATATTATGCATTTTATCGCATAAAGGCTCTTGTTGTAGTCTGATTATAGTGTGAATAAAAAAATACAGATAAATTGTGTTAAAAAAATATAATAATTAGAATAGTAATCAAATAACATTATCCATTATGGGCCCACAGGTCTATACAAAGTGGATGCGGTCCTTTGAAAACTAAATTAAATAGAGCAAATCTGATATCAGAATTTTGATTACGATTTAGAACATAGTTGCGAGTGGTATTTTGATGAGAGCCTTTTTTTGCAAATTATACCTTTTCCGCGGTAGGAGTACTGCTGGCAATACCGCACGGTGTGATTGTAGTACATTTTATTAACGCTTCTGGATCCACTTCCATCACCTATAAACCATTTATAAAGGCTAATTTTCATTGGTCGTTAGTTGGTCGATAAACCGCATGCAGGGACTCCCCGAAGGCGGAATACTAATGAAAGTCAACAGTACACGTCATTATACCGCCTGCGAGTATTCCCAGCATGCAATGCTTACTGAAGTTCCTATAACATTGGTTTATAAAAATAAAAAAAACAAAAAGAAAGAAAATTAACCACAACATACACAACATTAAATATGGGTAAATATATAAATCAAAATGTGGTTTTAAAAAACATAATTATTTTGTATGATATATGATGCTGCACTGGACTCAGCTCAGTATGAACAGCAGGCAAGACTGCTCGAGTTCAGCCATGACATCACGGAGTACAAATTATTAAGTCTTAAAAAAACTACGCAACGCAATTATAAATAATGAATAAAAAATACTTGCAAAAATTTAAATTGTGGAATTTTCATTGTAGTCTATATGTGATAATGACGTGATCACTATCGACCGGACAGTGAAATTGACGTGGGTTTTACCAACTGTATAGTGAAAGTGACGCGGCCTCTTTCAACTAAATATCGTAGATAGTGAAAATGACGTGAGCTCTATCGACTAACTAAATGACTCTAAATCCACGTGCGCGGTCCCGTAGGAAATCAAGCATTTATTTTTATTACAGACATGATCCTACATTACCGAATTTAGACACAGGTGTTGGTGCTGATGTTGGTGCAAATCGTAATATTTAAGTAGTATGAGGCCGTCCATTAATCACGTAAGGCTCGAAAGGGGGAGGGGAGAGATTCGTCAAAAATCTTGAATTATCAGAAGGGGGTGGGGGTGCAGTAATATATGACGTGTATTTATTTTTTCCTCGACGTGCGATTATTAAACCGAAAAGCGACGTCAAAAATTAAGATTTTTTGCTTTTTTTAATACACGTAATTTGGTTGAAGAAGGGAGGGGTAATCTTAAACCTCACCATGTATCACCACGGGGGAGTGGGGGTCAAAAAATGTTGAAAAAACATCACGTAATTAATGGACGGCCCCTAATATAAATTGTAATGTAATGAGTACCTCGGTGGGGTAGTGGATAAGCGGCGCGGTCCATAATCGTTGTTGATAAGCAACTTTCGCAAAGATCGGTTACGGGATGGGTGACCAAAAAAATGATTATCTCGAGCTATTCCGTGCTTCAGAAGGCACGTTAAGCCGTTGGTTCCGGCTGCATTTGCAGTCGTTAATACCCTCTAATCCGCATTTAGTCAGCGTGGAGGGTCATGGCCCCTATCCTCCTTAGCCACCCACCCATAAGGAAGGATTAGGCCCCTGCAGTGGGGAAATAAAAAGACAGATGATAATACGTTGTAATTCCGAGCAAACATTATCCGTGCTGAGGATTCTGCTGACCACTAGGGATCCACGGACCATATATTGGGAAATACTGCCCTAAAAGCTACAACTACGGCATGCTTTACAGTAATCTCCCGAAGCGCGAATGCGGCGCTATCGACCAATGAAAAAGCGCCATAAATGTAAAATATTCATAGAAAATATTTTTTCCTTTTATTTTACTATAAGCACTTATCAACAATATATAATTGATTTGAATTGAATTGAAATCATAACGCAAAATCTTAAAGTCAGCTAATCAGTACAGTGAACAGCACGTCAGGTTACAACAAAAAGCCAAATTTTGACGATTTTTAAGCCTTAATATGTTGTTAGTTAATTTTTTTAGTAAACTGATGTGCTGCGTTTCGTATATAAAAAGGCACAAACCTGATTTGATTGTACTACCACCGCGTTGGGCGCCGGGACGGCTCGTTGTTGACTTTGTTGACGCTGAGCGACCTACACATTTATAATAAAAGGCAAATGAAATAACAAAACATGGTAATTTCATAACACGTCATTTAGTTCAATAAGTACAAGATGAAAATAAAAATTGACTTTTAAGATAAATTATTCACAAATTTAAGGAAACAGTCGAAAAGATTATATTCATTGTTAGATTACTTCTCTTTATATTGTTTTGTTATCAAAACAAAATCTACATAAACAAAATTTTACGAAATAAACTGAACAGATTACTTTGAACAACATATTAAATAACTACTAAAAGTCAAATATTAAATAACGGTAAAGACTAACAAAATGTCGTCAGTCAATCTTAAGCATTAATTTTTGGATAAACAAGTTCAAAATTTATTTCAAATTATCGCCTTTTATAACCTAATGCGCCGCAGTGTACACAAAGTTTTTAACTCTTAAAATTATAAACGACTGATGAAATATTGTAAAGTGTATTTGGTCGATTAACGACCAAACTTAAAGAAAGTTTTTGAATTCCAGAAAATAATAAAATTTATAGAGCACAATCTAAATTTAACTTAGTATAAAAGATATAGCACAACGATTATGTTAAATCTTTTAAATATTTATAAATAGCATGCTTTCAAAAAGCGAATGCTCCTATGCATGCTACAAAAAATTGTAATCAAGTTATTTCCTAATGTTAGTTTTAATCAAGTCATGCTCGACTATGCTTTGACATTGCCACTACATAAAAAAAAATACTTAAGTCTTAAACACAAGTGTTCACATGCATCAAATGCGATATTGGTTAATACTTTCAATTCATTGAATCAAACAATTGTTTTACCATACTGTTTATCGCCTGCTTTTCACAAAATAATCTATAAAATAACTCAACCTAAAATAAAAATTAAACAAAACATTTGTGAATGATTTTGAAAAAAATAATCATTGTTTCTGAACGGAGAAAACATCATTGACCTCCGGTAAAGACTATAAAGTGACACCAGCTTTTCATTTCTAGAGAGTTGTTAATGGCGACTGAAGTGATGAGTTTTAAGCCTTCTATGTAGACGATAGACTATTTTTAAGATTCCCAAACAGGTTGCCATACTGGTTACGGATGTAGTTTCATTCTTGAAGTGGACTTTTAATTGGATTCTTCAAACTATTTATTGCAAAAATCTATTCTATTGCTTATATTTGTCTCTTAAATTTATTATATTTCAAACAAAAAGAAATTACTTGCTTATTTGGCCGGGTTGCCAACCTTAACATATGATACGTATTCGTCATACTCACAAATAACGAATCCAATACTATATAAAATCATTTTATAGACATCGAATCAAAACAAATTTAACAGACCTATCAATGGGACGGATCTCTGTATTTACATTTCTCAATTACCTTTTCGGTTACATAATAATTCCTATCTTTATCACAAATAATATTCACTATAAATAAACAATAATTGCCAAAAAATTAACATAGTTATTATTTTCTATCAAAAAAATTGATATTTATTTTTAGTCCCAAATATACTAAACCCTTGCTAAAATGAAAAATTAAAAAGTTTATTTCTTTGTTTCAAATTATTTTTGGCCAGTCGTGTAAAAATAGAAGTTATATCAATATAGTCAAAGTTGGCAATCCTGCAACATATCAACAAAACAAGACAGATTAGTGTTGTTAGTATGCACTTACTTGGTGTACCGGGGCGGAGCTTACTTTGTGTGCGAGGAGATGTTTTATTAACGTTGTATTCGACGGGTTCGTTTCCAACGCCTGGGACAGGTGCGGATGCGATACCCCTGATTGAATTGTCTGTGAAAAATACCAATATTATTTATTGTACATAAAATTCGTCTGGCATGAAGAGGGGAAAGTAAAGCCGATGAAATACTAGTAGCGGCACCCTTGAAATAAAGACTTTAAAGCGTTACGTTAAGGTTCGACCCGCGATTGTTTAGACAAAAATAAGGCGCTTTCAAAACTATAGTATAGTTTTATAGTTTAATGTATGGTATGGAATAATTTTCCTTTTTTTTTCATTGAATTTTCAAATATTTACAGATTTTTTTAATCATAAAAATGGTTCTCAGTACATCGTATTTGAACAGAAATTGTTATACATCAAAATTATCTAATCATTTATTTGTAATAGTCCATCTATTTATAAGAAATAGTATTAAGTTAATAATAAAAGTATTTCTTCTTCTGTTTACAATAAAATTTACCTGAGCTTGTGAAACAACAGGCTTCACTTCTGAAGCGGGTTTGTTGGTCAGCTGTGCTTTCAATATCGGTGACGATGGCCCTATTTGATACACAAAATAATATCAAAATCTGCAACCGATTCTATTAGAATTGAACAGAATGAATAAACTACAGGCAATAGGGTTATGTCCTACTACTACTCCTAAGAGAAAATACAGGTTTTTGGTAAATGGTCTGAAAATATGAAGGAAACTTTATGACACTAATATTGAAAAAAGATTTAAAAGTAGAGAAAGAAATTAGTTACATAAATCGTAATAACTTTCAAGTAACAACTTTGTGTGTTTATGTTTATAGCTTTTATAGAGCTACGTTTTCCGCTACCGTAGCACTGTGTGAGGTCACTAAGTGGTTTAAATTTGTTAGCAGCGTTTTCAGCCAACTAGCAGAAATTCCACAAACATAGCACCATATCTACGAAACTATTAATCGCACACATGCAGTTATTTCTACATTATTTCTCAGATATTGATTGGCTATTTCCTCATAAAATAAAATCTAGCTTATTCCATTAACATATTCAAATTAAAGCTTTCAAGAACATCGCGATCGCAGTCGCTATCATTATGTCAAATATTTGCAGCATGAAGTTCGTGAATATCTTTCAAATTTCTTATTGAAAGTGATCGCTTTTCAAATTAAGACAATTAAGCCTCTGAATAATATGTCGGGTATTGAATATTTTAATAGAAGTGATTAGGCTAATAAAGTATACATTACCAGCAGTTTGATTCGGTCTAGCTGCCACATTTCGTGATCGTATTCCGACGTATGCTTGCTGAGTCTCGCCAGACGATGTGGTGACGGAATTCGGTCCTACAGTGCCTCCGAATACAGTCCTGTCATAAAAAACGATGTCAGCAAGACTGGATGCGATTAACTGATCTCATTCCAGGGTCAATATAAATAGAGACCTTTGCTCATGGTCTCGAGTCTGAATTGTTTGATACCTTTGTTGCTATAGATTTCCATAACACAAGACTTTAGACTCTTTTGCCTGAGCTCTTAGCAATACATATGAATTGAGAAGTTTCTGAATTGAGAATTTAAACTTAAGCACGTCTCAAACCGTACTTAAACCGTATTAAACGTCACTTAAACAGGTTTTCGTTTCTGATTTTGATTTTCTTAATGATCAGATAACAGTTTGATAAAGTAGAACGTTTCGCTATATGAAACGTAAAAAAACTTAAGTTATTGAGAATAATCTTGTGTAATATACTTTTCTCAATTCATAATCCGGCCGATTGTCTAATATTTAAGGTAAACACAAATCATTACGAAAGTAAGATATAAATTAAAAAAAAAAAGTAAATACAAATCATTACGAAAGAAAGATTATTAATAATAATAAAAAGAAAGATTATTTATAATTAAAAAAAGAAACAATAATCGTTATATAAAAAAAGAAACAATAATAATATACTGACCTCACCAGCCGTGGGAAATGGGCTGGAGCAATAACACCCTTCCTGCCTAGTTTAGTGCAACACGCTAGATATTGACGATACAATTCGCCAGCATCGTAAGCACTATTATCTGATGGCGGTAACGGTTCGAATGTAGAACGGAGCCAAGCTTGTGCGAAATGTTCGTTTTCCTTAAGATAGAAAAGAAAATGCAGTTTGACTTAATACGTTATGCAAATTAATGTAAGGTTCATTTTTCAAAATCAGGTCAGTCCGGGTTCGGTTTCCGAGCTGAGAACAAGTTTTTTACAATTGACATGTTTCTTGATAATTTTCGTATATCTTATAGTTTCACACTTTCTCATAACTTAAGCAAACATTTTTAACAATTATGCAAGAATTTGAATGAAGTAAGAGCTCTCAATAGTAAGAACACTATGATTATTATTTACTGCTTCATTTAAAAAAACGTCAATAAGTTAAAAACATTTGTTTAATTTATGACATTTTCTAAAGCAATTACTTCTCTCGATTATAGATCCGAGAGTAAATATTACACTCAGTGTAGTGTAATCTAATTAATAAGTACCTATGTAAAAGGGATGATGACCAGGTAAAAAAAAAAACATTTAATTCCTCAGTCAGATAATAATAGAAAAATATTAGAAACGTATTTTTATTTTAATTTACCAAGAAGTAGCTTAGATAACAGTCATTAAAGTTCCTCAACTTTATGGGGGCACAGTTTTATAGAAATATAATTAGTACACAAAAAAAAATACTTTTTAATATTGTTCAATTATCTACCTGAGGGACTAATATATAGGTAAAAGTTCTTTATCAATATATACCTGTACAGTTCTCTGTTGTAAGTGCGACTGTTGTAGCGTGTTAACGGGCGGGGTGGCGTGTGAAGTGGAAGCGGTAGCGGAGGCGGGAGCGGGTGTGGGCACGAGGACAGGGACGGGCACGGGAGCGGGGGAGGGGGCTTTCGCGGGGGAGGACGTTTGTGCGGACGACACCGCCTCTTGAGATTTCTGTTGTACCTGCTGACAACAATAATACGTGAAAACTTTGTACCCTCTTTACGAATACAGGGAATATAATTTGATAAAAAAATGGGTTAAAATATATTTTATAACGTTCATCATTGATTTAGAATAAAGTCTATGTAAATATTTTTCGACATTACTTCGTTTTCGTCTTGAAAATAATTATTAATAATTATTCAAACGCCATGTTACTTGTGACAACGGATGTGAGATGTCGTTGTTACTAAAAGATAACGTCAATGTATTATGTCGCAAAATAAACAACAACAGATTACAATTTAAATCAAGTTTTAGACTTTATTTATATATCACAAAAAAAAAGATTATCAAAAGTCTATTATATCTCTTGTCGTGTACTTTGACGTCACGACAAGCGTCAACAATTCCGGCGTTAAAACGGCGTTTGCTCGTAGTTGGTACTTATTTTCATCAAATACCTACTTTTGTTAAGCAGAAGCAGAGACCGTTATTTTCTTTTTTTTTACGTGTTTTTATGTAATGTCATTTTAGCCATCGGGGAGATTGTTCACTGACTCTAACTGATGCAAACTTGGCAATTTTAATGGAAAAAGAAAGAATAAATTTATACTGAATGTCTTATTACCTGGTTAGCTGCGTCTCTCTCAGCCACGGCTGCTAAAGCACTTGGTCCACTGACTGTCTCAACTACCCTCATTAGAATACAAGCACGCGGACCATAGCTTTGTGCCTGTTGAAAAAAAATATATTATGTTCTAAAATATTATGTTGCCGTTATGTTAAGTGTTATGTTACCGTTGAGAGAAAACGACGAGTATCGATGTCCATAGAACTTTGTATCGTTTACGAGTACTACGCACTACTTCACGGAAAGGATAAATATATATGAGTAGCGATACGTATCTTTCACTTTAAATTCTCAAATTTTTTCCTCAAAAACACATAGCAGTATCAAACTTAGAAGATCATACAACAAGGGTTTCTTTATAATCTTATCTCTGCTAATGAGTTCAATTAAACAAAATTTGCAAGAACAAAACATTTCAATCCATCACCAAGACATATGCGTTTACAATTTAGATAAGATAGAGATGAAGTATTTAATGAACTGTGACGTCAAAGTCTAATAGTAGGATCGTCCCCACTCCAAAGTCCACAACATTATTTAATAAGCGTATAATGACTGAATTGCTTGATTTATTTAAATAAATATTAGCTCCAGACCCTAAACAATATGGAAAAATTCTATTTCTACGTTGACCCTACCGGGAATTGAACCCAGGACCTGGAAAATGGTGACACCTTGAAACCGGCATGCAAACAGACCGACCACGGAGGTCGTGTTATATTTAAATGAATATATAAATCTGTAATAAGCATCATATCGTACCGCTAGAGCAAAGACGTTAAAGCGCTGATCTTTAATTCTACATCATCGATTACCCTTAACTATTTGACTCGATGTCCATTATATCGCCTCGTAAAATCTTAAGATCGAATGCGCTTATTTATCTTCCACGTGTTAATACTAATTACAGGCAAAATTCCTTTCTATGGCATGCATGTAACGATTTTAATAAAGTATGTATCGAATTCGATTTCGATGTATTTAATAGTGATTCTGAAAAAGCAAGTTGGGTATTAGTTGTTAGTTTTTTTTTTTTAATAATAGAGAGCGATTCCGAGTTTAGGATAGCTTTCTTATATTTTTTATGCTTATAATTTGAATCGATTTTTTACCAGTTTGCTAACCATCTGTGAGGACCTGTAAATGGCATCCTATAGTTTATTTAATTGATATGCATCTGTTCTTGCTGTTGGTCTTCTTAAAACTAATAAATAGCACCTTCAGTTACACTCACCTCAACTGTAACTAGCGAGACGAGTGTGTGAACGAGACCGGGCACCCTGGCGACCGCCTCGCTCGCTCTATCGCCCAGTGACGTCAGCGCGTACACACACTCTAGCGTGCACACTAACACCATTATATCGCGCAACGTTAATAACGCACACACGTCACTATAAACCTGCATAAATAACACAATAAAATAATATAAATAAAAATAAAAAAAATTAAACAATAAAAACTATTTCTTTGAGACATCTGGGGCCTAATAGGGACGATAATAAATTTTTGTTTGTTAGTCCATCATGACTATTGAAAAATATTGAACACTTTTTTTTTTGCGTATTCAATTAATTATGGCGATGTATTGAGTTTAAATGTGGCATGACGTCATGCTTTTGTACATTTTCTACAAAACTGAGACATAGTGAACACCCACTTCTTAACTTTAACGCTTATTTTCTAGGTCATTTCTTGTTTAAATTGAAGTAAAAAATACTAAACATTTTAAGTAAAAGATATCGTAAACATTTAAGGTTTACTTTACTATGACAAAATTGGCTAGATGCATCTGTACAAACGCAATAGCAATGTTTATAGGATATTTTCTCTGTTCGGCGACTAGGCTATATTAAATATAGTTTAAATAGTTATATACCTATATTAAAACATTAACTGCAAAACATCCAAATTATGACAAGTATTACCAAACATTGTAATTACAGGAACATCGTCAGTCAAAGAGTTAAAAATTTCCATAACAATAATGATAAGGAATCTCTGTCACGAGCGCCGCCACCCTCGATCCCTGTTGATAAGCAACTTTCGGAGGGGTCAGTAACGGGATGGATGACCAAAAAATACTATCTCAAGCTACTCCGCGTTTCGAAAGGCACGTTAAGCCGTTGGTCCCGGCTGCATTTGCAGTCGTTAATACCCTCCAATATGCATATCCCTCCTTAGCCATCCATAAGGAAGGCTTGAGCCTCTCCAGTGGGGACAGAAAAGGGCTGATGATGAACACTCACAAAACATGGTATGAATGTTAGACATTCAAACTATTTTCTATGTTCTTCTTATTTTCTACCCATTGTAAACTAATTGTTCCTACCTTTGATTCCAGTGCTTTAAGCAGAGCCTCTTCGTTAGCTTCATTCTGTGCAAGTTTGTTCAATAACTCTAAAGCTGCGAGCACTCTCGCTCGATCCGGCGATACTAGAGCAGACTGTATCGTTGATAACACGTGTCTTGATATCAGGCACGTCGCTGGGTCCTAACAGTTAAAGTATAAAAAAAATTTCAGATCATTAAAACTACAACTAATCTGAAAAGCTAAAACCATATGGAGCTAGTTCTTTTTAAGGTCACATCAAGCAGCATACAAATAAGACGAACGCCAATTAAACAGCTTCAAGTGGCCCTTATTTAAGAAAAAAATAAGTATACATTTTTCTTAGTTTTCAAATTAATTAGGTCGAATGCGCCAGCGCATCGGACATGTGTCAACTTTGAAATCGACTAGTTCTTACAAAAGCTAGCAATCAAATAGTTAAGCATTATGAATGTTATTCTTTTTACTGAAATTAATATAAAAATAAAAAACGTTACAAATATTATAATTCCTAATACATTTCAAATAAAAATTCTGACCTTTATTATAAGTTCCGTTGAAACATTCCCCAGGGTATCGAGGCCAGACTGCCGTAACGATCCCACCCAGCAGTTAGCGCATAACAGCAAAAATCTATAATAACATATCAAGTTTTAATAATGTCAATAGTTATACATATACAAGGCTATTTTTCAATCAGTATACTAATGTTTTCCTAATGTTTATTGTCGGCACGTAGGTATATTGTTTGTATTCTAACGTAAATATTAGGGGAAAATGTTTTATTTTGTCTACAGATTTCTTTTTTCTTGTTGCGATTGTAATTGCCAGGTAGGACATGTTTTGTATAAAAGGTTTTTTTTTTAACTGTACGGAAATACGTTAATATCATTTTTACTCCGTAATCTATGGCATTATGACTAAAATATAGCGCCATTACTATGGTCAACAAAACAAATATCATTATTGATAGATTTAATCTTAATCTATTTTATTTCATCAGACAAAGCCGGGATGGACAGCTAGTAAATAAATAAATCCATGCTAATATTATAAATGCGAAAGTTACTCTGTCTGTGTATGTCTGTTAAATTATCTTAACTACTGAACAAATTTTAATGAAATTAGGACCTTAGTAACGGACATGACATAATTTTTATCGCGAAAAGTTTTAAAAACGGGCGAAGCCGCGAGCGGAAATCGCTTTTACATCTTAACTGCTGAACCTGTTTTAAAGAATTTTAGTACACAAATAGAGTGGACCTTAGGAAAGGACATAGGGTAGTATTTATCGCGAAAAGAATTCCACACGGGCGAAAGCCGGCGGGAAGCTAGTACCTGATAAGAGTTGTGTTCTTTGCCAAGTATTGTACGTTTTCGTCGTGGAATGAGAGCGAGCGAACTATAGACGCAATCTGTAATACTCGCTGCGTGTACACACATGACGCGCCACCAGGCAACACTGGTGCGAACAGTTGACTCTCTTCTGAAGGTTCTGTCACCCAATCTTCTAACACGTCCTGTGATTAAAACGTTCACATTAACAACACAATATGTTATTTAACACTATTGAAAATAAGCTGCATGTTGTGATCATACTGTTATTTAATAATCTAATAAAGTTTATTTCTTAGAATCTGCAAGCAAAATATGTTTACCTTAGTAAAATAACGTAAATAAAATGCAACATTTTTAGGAAATTAATGAACGACGAAAACGCCCTGTGTTTGGTTGTCGTCTCAACCAATAACAGATCCTTTTTGCCGGCGTATAACATCACAGGTAAACAGCAAGCTGTCATGTTAAAACAGTGTTATTATACGCAAAATTTGTAATTATGGCTCATTTTATATGCAAAACCAGAGTAAATACTGATGATCCCATGAAATATATATACAGTGTGTTTATAATGTATCAAACAACAATTTAAAATAGTTTTCAAACAAGAGTCAAATACCCTATTGATTTCAGTTTTTTATTACCGTGAAACTACAATATTTAGCAACCTGAAGGAGCTTGATGCAACTTTTGAAATGGCCAGTTATAGAGTGGCTGGCCAAACTTTATTATCTCGAGCTCGACTGTCCTTCGGAGAGCACGCTAAGCCGTTGGTCACGACTAGTAGACATAGGAGTTAACACCAAATCCATATTGCTGGTTCTCCCTATATGTTTGAGAGTCTCTGAGATCCCTGATTCGATTCGTTGTCTCAGATACTCCATAAAAAGGGGACTTTCGCTACTCATCTTGAAATCTAAGCAATGTATATGATGTTGTCTAATATACATTAATGTTGTTTTGTATATGCCCCAGCAATGACAATATTCACAGGTTAATTACGATACACTCCAGGACTCACATCATTGAAAACCTTATCCAATAAGTCCTCTTCTTTATCGTCCTGCATCAGACAGTCGGTGAGCGTGTTATGTGCGGCAAGAGCTTGCACCATCAGCTCAGGCTGTTCCAGTCCAGGTTGCATGAACTTTGTTTCGTCTGCCAACTCTCTGGCGCCTCCGCCGCCGGCTCTCATCTGCCAGAACTCATCGGGGTATCGTCCTCGGGCTTCGAAATACGAACGGCCGATTGTGTCGCGCAAACTCGCTGGACACAGACAAACATATCATTAGTCGACATTAGTCAGTGAAATAAGAAAAAAAGAAAATTAACTAATTATGACGACAACTTAAAAGAAGACAACTATTAAGCTAGTTTCGCTACCACATGCGCGTCTTTTTTATTATTATTTTATAAGGTATGACTATAGAGGATTATTAAAAAAAATGTTTAACCACAACTCAACACTTTGAATAAAAACATCCTAGAGCTAATAATAAACTTTTGTTGTACTTTCATGCCATAGAACATAGAACAAGTGTTTTTATGAACATTAGCTATCTAGTCTTATTTATGGTATCCTGCAAGGTTTTTGATGTAAACCTGCATGTTTTAATTCTATGGAAATGTCTTCCTACACGCGAATTTAGTTGCTAACAGCATTGCAATAAAAGTTATCATAGTAGTTTTTGCGTAAAGAACTAAATTATAGTGAGGTGATAGTCAAATCTAAAGTAACGGATAAATAAAAAAAAAACCGCTTTATCTTTTAGGGTCGTCAATAAGCAAATTGAAATAATAATGCTTTACTCACAATGATTGTAAACTCCCGCATGTGCCAATAAGAAATCCAATATATGAGGTGTTGAGGATAAAGGTAGCCTGTTCGCATGGTCTGCGGCGAGTACTGTGCACACGTTCACAGCAAAATCTTGCTCATTCGGCATCGGGGATAAAAGAGAGAGGGCGAGTCTCTCAGACGGACCTGCCACTCGGTTGCCAGTACGGAGAGGTTCACCTGACGCTGTCAATATTAAAATATTATCCGATTGCTGCCAAATTCCGAAAAAAGAACACACACATATTCACATATAAAACCATTTTCAATTAATCAATTTTGCCATGCATATTAATATTCATCATAAAACATTCACCAGTCTCGGGTACTCCGACATGGGATTCGAACCCACAATCGTTCGGATTCCGAAAGAGCCGAACGACTGCTCAAATCATTGAGTGAGATACCCGTGCCCAGTAGCACTGACGAATTTTTCAAACGTAAAGAACGTTTAGTTAGTTATTTTAAGCACATATTTTTTTGTTTATGAATTCATTTGTCTTTTTATGCAATGGTCTATTGTGTTTGCCACATTTTAAAATACTGGCACTATCTAGTGATGACTATAGAAACTAACTATTAATCTTATAGCATAAAATATTATGAGATATATAAAAAATAAAATCAGGCCACAAAAATTATGATATTATCAATGGATATATATATATATATATAACAGAACCCTGTTTCTTCTTGTCAAAAATAAAATATACTATTCAATAAACTTGAAGTGAAATCTTTATTTGCTACTGATCAAAACTTTTCTTTCAAATACATTGTTAAAATGATAGAAAACTTTAGAGTCCGTTAAATAATTAATAATCAATGTAACCAGTTTTAAACGAAAGCATTGATAAATCACATCACAATCACAACAAACCCCTATTCACATTCTTGATCATAACACCCAACAACGTAATGCATCATAAAAAAAATTTAAAGCAATATGCCTAACTTATCTACATGCATGGAAAATATTTATTATTAGATCTTGTATAAGATTTCACTGAATTACTATAATTAATACAATACAAAAGTTAAACGGTGGCGCTCTAAGCAAGTGCCTAAACTACGTCGCCCCTTCTTGTGGTCAAACCGCGACAAAAATGTTTTTATATTTGAATACACCACTTTTTTTTTTTAGTCTATTTACAAAACACTGTGTCGAACTACTAGTACTCATCTTATTTCATTTCTTCAGTAAATAAACATCCAAAATTTAATTAAACAATAGAAAGGCGTGAAACCATTACCATCATGCACAGTCCCTCTTTAATAAGAAGCCCAGTTACACAAACGTCCATTGGAGGTTTAATAACAACGTTAAACTCTAATGAATATTCTAAACTTGAAATTTTGTATCACTAATGCTGCTTAAACTAATGACATTTGTGCAACTGGGTGCCAAATAATGTCTAAGGAGATTTTGCCTCATTTGAGAATCAGGCAATATAGCTCACGAATCTTCTTTCGTTATTTTCACGCCACTTATAACGTGGCAACTTTAGGCATATATGCCTAGTTTGCCTAGAAAATAACCCAACACCGACAAAAGATTACTTTTGTAATTTATATTTGAAATTACAACCACAATATGCAATTTAATCTTCATTTCAAACAACACACCTTTAATATTATATGTCAATATTTATTAAAATAAACTGCACAAACACAGACTTTCACTGCTAAAAACAAGCACAGATTAATTTGATATATTAAACGAATCATCCCCAAGCAAATGTACACATATTCCTCAACACGCTTAGAATTTTACTCGGTAACTAGCGTAAACTAGTTACCTGAGATGTAAGTACCGCTACCGAATGATATTCGTGGCATGTTGCTGGCGCGGCTCCGTCGAGGGTCTTCATCCAAGTCATAATTATCATCATCTCTGCCGGGGGGACCTTTTGCTCTCTCATATCTATGAAAGTAGATTTGACACTTGTTAATGTTATTGACAAAATAAGGATAATAGTGTAATATATAAATATTATGCTATTATCCTTATTATACTATTAGGATTAAATTTTATGTATGACTGAGATAATATTTTATAATGAAAACTGTTTATAAAAATTTTCCATATAAAAGATATCCGTCAGTATAATAGCATTATGAATTCAAAATTGATCAAAACATATTATTATGTCAATCGAAAACTTAAAATATTTCTTTTGGCTGCTTGGGTGAAAGAAATATTTTAAATAATGGTTTTTAAACTTCATTTAAAATTCAAATGTGTTCTAATTATTATATGTGGTCTCATTTACATTCACAATGTCACTGGTTAACATATTTTATAATGAAATTTTTAAGCATTTTTCATTGTAAAATATATCTATTAGTTTAGCATTTCGAATTTAAAATTGATCAAATACAGTGATATATATTTCTTATACGGCGCTAGTAACCTCCTTAACCATCCATAAGGAAGGCCTGAGCCCCTGCAGTGGGGACGTAAAAGGGCTGGTGATGTGCTAGTAGCTAGACGAAATAACCAAAACTTTATTGACTCTGCTGATGATGGCAGAGATAGACACCTTTTGATTGCTGACCAATACATAAAAGACAAACTTAGAGATTGTATTGCTCTACATGCTGAACTTATTGAAGAAACTTTTTTGTTTATGTTCAATAAAGCCTCATAGCACTTGAATCATATCGATATGCTTATCGAAGTTCAGGATTCAACCATTGACATGGCTAGCCTGAAGCCCAGACATTCAAACCCAATATACAGAAAAAAACAAAAGTACCTATGGTACGAGCTTAAAAGGTTGATTCGAGTATGAATTCCCGCTTTTTCATCTATCACTGAGCTAAAAGCAGCAATATCTAAAGAATGGGATAATATACCACAAGTCATTGCAAAGCTCTTCCAATTAATGAGTAACAGAATGCAAGCATACACCAGGGCAAGAAGGGGCAATACCAATTATGATTTTTTTTTTTACTTTCTCTTTATGTACTGTCAATGGATTCATCAAAATCTTTTTTATACCTATATGTGACATTCGGTTTTGGGATGATATGTTTTAAAATATGTTCAGTGAACCCTAAAATAATATACATGTAACGTGAAAAAGGGAGATGGCTCGATTTTTTGTTCCCAAGTGTGTATGAAAGCAAGCTTAACCCATATCTTCCTAGTGATCGATTAGTCGATCGGTTGACTTATTATTTTTTTTAGAGAAATCCGGACCGCATCCATTGTTATTTTTTAAGTGTTGGTAATCTTGATGCTAATGGCTGTCAAATTATATTTTTGACGTTTTACAATTGGCGCGCATTTTCTTAAAGTTAAAGTGTATTTGCGGCAATTTTCACTCAAAAATATGTCTCATCGAAAAATGTAAGTATTTTCGCTTTATTTTATTATTATTTTATTTATTTCTATGATTTTATATTAAACATAATGTGTATTATAATATTGTAATGTGGTAAAATTAATATAAATGAAATGTGGATAGATATAATAATATTTTATAAAGTGATCGATTTTTCGATCAGTAGGATGTTATGCCCGTGTATGGTTATACTTCTTTATCTTTCTTTTACTCAGATATTTGTATTGTTTTCTTACAGTTTGTCTGTAAATGAAAAAATTTCACATCTGGAAGATGACACAGATGTCTTATCAGCTGATATTTATATTACTCCGCCGGATAATTATGACAAAAGCGATGAAGATAGTGGTGATGAGGAATTTACCCATATAAATAATTTGTCAAGGCAACAACTGTTAGCAGAAGCCGAACTAAGGGCCACCGTAGCTTCAGAAACTGGTATTGATGTTGAAGACAATTTATTGGATGATCCCTTACCCAGCACCTTGTCAGTAAAACTACCGCCAACGAAAAAAAAGCGCGCTGCTGCATTAAGACGTTGGAGGGCTATCGATATTCCAGATAAACAGGAAAAAGAGACTGAGATGCCTAGTTTCCTTGAAAATATTGAAACTCCAGTACAGTTTTTCGAATTATTTTATGATGAAGAGGTATTTGAACTATTGCGTTCTGAAACTGAAAAAAATGGAATTCAGAAAGGCAAGCATGGCTTTAGGGTGACAATTACTGAAATCAAACATTTCATCGGAATACTGTTATTGTCGGGGTATAACAGCGTGGCAAGGTATCGCATGTATTGGGAACAACAAGTAGATTGCAATTTTCAAGTCGTGTCATCTCTCATGTCTAGAAATAGATTTGAAGATTTGCTTCGTTACTTCCATGTCGCTGACAATAATAATTTACCACCAAACGATAAGTTCGGAAAAGTTCGTCCACGGTACCTGACTCTATAAGGCTAGATGGAAAAGCTCATCATATTATCAAGCAGGATAAACCAACCCGGTGTGGTTTATGCCACAAAAATACATTTATGAAATGCTCAAAGTGCAATGTCGCTTTGCATCAAAAATGTACTGTTGCTTTTCATACAAAATAGCTTTTTTTGTCCATTATATTGTTTAAATAGTCATAAGAGTCTTTTCTATTATAACATAAATAAAATACAGCTAAAAACTCCTTTTTATTTCACAATCACCCAATGTACATATTAGTACAAGACATGCATATATATTCCTACTGATCGATTAGTCGATCGGTTTCAAAACTCCATAAATAAATTAAAAAAAAAATTTTTAATCATCAATTTATATTTACATACCTAATTAGGTGCTAGGATAAAATTTTCATCAAAATCGATCAACTCTAGATAAGCTTGGGATGATATGGGTTAAGAAACAAAAACAAATTCTTTACCGCATTTTTTATCGGTCTTAAAGTAAGATTTTTATTTTAGATAATCGTGTAATTGAAACTACATATCATAGTTATAGACAATTGGCACCCAAATAAAAAAAAAGTAAATATTCACATTTTCGCATTTGCTAAATATCGGTAGTACGTATATGTATTCGCTAATGTAGGTGATAGATATTCGTATTCTCATTAGGGAATGTTTAAAAAATTACAATCGTAATATCATTATTGCGCTCATCTGGGATCGGGAAAGAAACCCCCATCCTTCAAAGGCGTCATAAATGCATTGCTATTGTATTATTTTAATCATTACATGACGAATTCCAACTCAATTCATCAGCTTAGTAATATTTTAAATAGCCAAGTATAAAAAAATGAGGTGACTGAATTTATTTGCTTGCAAGTGTATATAATACAATCTAAAGAAACAGAAACAAACTCTCCGCTTTTATGAGTCTTTATGTAAGCTTTTAATGTTAGATAATCATCTAACAACTTTTAATGTTAGATAATCAATAGTCATAGACAATTGGCAACCGCTTAAAAAGCCCTGAATGTTCATATACATCATTCACATTTGCTAAATGTCAATAGTAGATGTTAGTATTCGCATTTGCTAATGTCAGTATTAGATATTCATAATCACATTTATTTAAATCAATTACATTGTAATATCACAACTACACACATCTGGGATTACACTGGTGGAAATTTTGGAAAGAAAGCAATGCTCCCCAGAGATTGTACATCCATTGTTATTGTATTGTTTTAATTGTTACACTACGCATTAAGCTGTAAAGTGTTAAGTTGATTACCAACATTTATTAATCCCAAATCAGTCAAACACCTTACTGTTGAAGACAGAGTGTACTGTATCAGTAAATGTAATCAAACCAGCATAAGGATTTCTATTTATCAGGATATGAAAAAATATATAAGAATGGATCTGAAGATCCACTTAAAACAACTTCTAATATTTTTTTCTATATTATTATTTTAAGCATTTTTCTGTCTTTCATGTCAAAAATATGAATCTAACTAATGTCCTGTGTTAGCTCATTAATTTCAATTTTCAAGTAAGTATATCTTTATTTATATTTAGCATGTTAGTAAATATTTTATACATTACTGACTGCCAGCATGCATAGCATGACACACTCAAGAATCCTTTTGTATGCATCAAATGTCACGTTTAATTGAGCAATAGAGAGTGTTTGTATGAGCGCACTCTAGGAAAGTGATATTTGGGTGAAGATGAGTCATTCTCAAGTTTGTTATGCTACACATGCAGGTGTTCTATAGTCTCTAAAAAATATACAAACCCTAGACAAAGTATGTAATAAAATAATAAAAAAAACATGCATTACCTGATAGCCCAGATAATTATTGAATGAAATTTACTGAACACACATACAATTACACATAGTCAATCACAGAATGTTACCAATTTAGTGTCTAATAGATACTAGCTTGCCATATACCCAACACCAGTAACATAAATTATCAAATCTCACTTACTTTTCTAAATATGTGCCATAAAGTCTTCGTAATAATGTAGAACCATTAACACATGGATGTGGTAACCTTAATGGTCGCAAAAATGATTCCCATGTATCATATTGATTAACCTAAAATTAAATGAATCTTCTGTCAGTGTAATATATCAAATAAGCAACATAGACAATTCATGGTTTGCACATCGTTATACAATACCGTCAGCAAAAGTGAAATACTGCATAACTAACACTTGCAATTACACACTTATTTTAAGTAAGACAGTATTTTAAAATAAATTTAAATAGTGCAAGTGTTAGTTATGCAGTATTGCACCATTTCAGATGATATGTCAACGTCCGGGAAGACCAAGTACAATTCCAAGCTAAATTGATGTAGAAAAAATTACTTTTCAGTTTTGCCTCACACCTGGGACACTGAGGTTTTATTTTGTTCTGATTTCCATAATACTAGAACTTGTGCTATGTAATGTTAATATAAATTAATATTCAACACTTATATTAAATAGAATTTGTAGTAAATTCTGATTTCTTATTTATTCACATGCATTATCCATAAATGAAACAAGTTTTAAATTGTTCTTTAGATGGAACCTGTAAAGGTTCCAAAACATCAATAAAACTAAATACAAATGTGAAGAAATCTCTTAAAAGTTGTCTCATTTATTGAAGTAGGTAAATAAATACCTTGCTAAGTCCACCTCTCTGTTGTACCAATGAGTATAGATGAAAAAGATCAATTTCTATGCCGTTCACTATTGGTGGCTTACAGGATATACTGTAAAAGTCAAAATTTTATTTCCATTTTTCTCATAACCACAGATGCATAATACAGGATTTACATTATTATTTATTAACTCAACATAAACGTAACTGTTAAAGGAACAATATATGTTTATTAAGAATTAAGTTACAAATGTGAATTTATTATTCATATTAGAAAATCAACAAAATATACGCAAAAGAAACACAAGACAAAAAATCTCAAGAATTTCATCGGATATGAATTTATATAATTACTTTCTGGACTCATTGAACTGCTTCAAATCCTTCATAAAAACTTCTTTATCTTTCATATAGCTGCTTGATTTGATGTTTATTTGAGTTTTTGCCATTTTTAACGTTGATACAAACTAATCCAAACACAACCTATTTGCAAAAATATGCAATGATTTTGACAAACAAAACGCGTAGCGAATAACTGCAGTCAAAAATATTTATTACATTTTAATTTTATGCTTGCTTTTTATGTACAGTTTAATGAGAATTTATAAAATTTTATCGTCAAGAAGTAGCTAATTTTTAGAGTGGATATTGACATTGACATAACAAGACAATGAGCCGGCGGCGGACGCGACTACAGACAACTATAGACGCGATGTTTGTTGCCATTAAAAAAATAACCTAAATTATTAGAAATAAGATGATATTAAAAAAAGAGAACTACAAAAACAACATAAAGTCACCAGAGAGTAGCACAAACCACCCAATGAGTAAGAAACTATTATCTACCATTTTCGTGGTAGTTTATGAGATTTTGGGAGAAAAGTGAAATTTGTAAATACGCACTTTTCGCGGAAAACAGCCCCTAGTCGATATGGATGGCGCCGGGGGAGCTCTATGACATTTGGTAGTTTTCGATTCTCCAAGCCAAGCCTAACCTAGCGCACCACGGTAGCAAACATTTTTTTCGACATGCCTTCATAACCCGAATAAGGAATTATTTAAAAAAAACATTAGTTCCCGAAATCAAACTTAATGTCGCTTCGGTATTTTCTTGATTTCTTCATGACAAAACATCCGGTTTTCTTTCATATCTAAAAGTAAATTCGTTTTTAAAACTCAATAAACAACTCATATTCTATTTGTACTTTTTCGTATTTGTATTGATATCTGAGTTTCGAACTCTACAAATTTCAGTTTTTAAATATGTTAATTAAAAGAAACGGAAATGAATATCATAAGTCCATTCGTTTCCTGCAAAATTCAACTTTTGCACGAGTCGCCATCTAGTAGAGGTGCTTTTTTGGTGCTTTCTTTTTATTTTTAAATAGTTCCTTATTGTTTGGGAACCTGGGTAGCCAGCGGAGAAAATCTGTGAATCTCGCGCTGAATACAATATGGCGGCACCGTTTGCCGCCAGCGGCCATTTTGTTACTTTTTCACATTTTTGAAAAATTCAAACGTGGATATCACCATTTGGATTGTGCCTCAATTTCTTTATAATGGTTTCTATAAATCGACACAACTTTTGTAAAAGTTGTATTAAATTTTATTTTAGAGGATTTTTACCATTTCCCCAGTGGCAATACTGACTGCGCTGGAGTCGACAAAGTAAAAAATGGGCAAAATTTTTCGAATCGTGACGACGATGAAAATGGCTAAATGTCATTTTAGGTAGTGCCCTCCGTCGACAAAAAGCATTTTCGAAATTCCCAAACAGCTCCTTCTACTTTTCACCCTTTCGGGGTAAATCTCCAAAATTACCCTCAAATCGGGGAAAAATTTTACGTCATACGAAAGAGCCGGCGGTGATCCACGATCGGTCCATGCCAGGCGAAGAGCTCCCATGTTGCCACGTGCGCTAAAAACACGTTTGAATTTTTCTGCAACGCTGCTCACAGCCCGTGGCAACCAAGCGAAACCTAGTATTAGGTCTTTACCTGTGAAATTTTTGCCTTTGAAGTTTTTTTTTCCCGCCAAGAAGTTATCCAAATTATGGAAAAAGTAGAAGTCTATAGGCGCAAAGTCTGGTGAGTACGGCAGATAACGGAGAACTTGCAAACCCAACTCTTGTAGCTTGAAGACTGTTTGTTGTGAAATATGAGGTCACGCGTTGTGCAAGAGCAGTGGAGCCGAGCGATTAACCAAAGTTGGTTGGAGACATGAGAGCCACTGCCGTCTTTACCATAAGGGCACTAGGGGCCAGTGCCCAGGGCCCCCCATCCTCAGAGGGCCCCGAAGGACCGACAATTTCCTCACACATTTAATATCAAAATATTACACTTTTCTCGTTGCACGAACGTCGATCATTTTCAAATTTATTGAAATCGATATATTTATATGAATAATTTGGGAGATTCGAACACCATTATAACTTGCCATTAAAGTTTATAATATTAACGTCTATTTTCAAATTACTAATTTATTTTTTTATTCTGTAATTTGAAAGTTTGCAAAAATAATAATATTTCTGAAAAAAAGTAATAGCTCAAAAGAAATCAGGGAAAGACTTCCTAAACTGGCTCAAGATAATACCTCTAAAGATCACTAGGAAAAAAAGAGGTTATTACTTGTGACGAAAACGACAAATGTACATCAAATTCTGAATCCTTAACATCAAGCAACTGTGAGTTAATAATTGCAAACTTGGATAGTGTGTCTGTATCTCATTACAGTACTTATACTGTAACAGCATTTTAACGGAAGAAAATCGTAATATTTGGATTCGAAAAGGGCCAGTTTTTCCAAAATAAACACGGTGACTTCTTCGGAACTTCTACAAGTTTTTATGCTTCATGTGGTAATTATTCTTAATACAAAATGCTTAAAAAATCCACTTGGTCCCTGGCATCCTGAGATGGGAATCGAACCCACGACTTTTCGCATACTTGACAAAAAATATTTTTACCCGTAAATTAACGAATGGTCTCTGGACAGAAAATGGCTCCTTTATTCCCCAGTAAAGAAATCTGTGTACTGTTACTGCTGCCGTCTATTTAATACTACTATTGGTACTGGACATAATTTGAATTCTCCAAATGGATATAAGGATTGGAAACATATAAGTAACTTATTGATGGAGCATGAAAACAGTTGCGACACAGGCAATTTATGATGAATAATGTTACAAGAATGAAAACTACTGGTCGAATTGATAGTGAGTTGTTGTCCCGATATAATATAGAAGTTAACTATTGGAAAAATGTCCTTAGGAGAATTGTTGCAGTAGTGAAGTTTTTAAATTTAATATCTCAGTCCTACATAACTTAATAAAGTCTGATAAGAAGAAACTTTTCCAAATGTTGAAGTTGCTACAAGAATATTCCTTTGCCTAATGGTTACCAATTGTAGTGGGGAGTGTTCATTTTCAAATTGTATAGTTCGATTCGTTCTTTTTACATTCCAAAAGGGCCCCGAAATCTTTTGTGCCCAAGGGCCCCAGCATAGTCTAAGATGGCCCTGATGAGAGCTTCTCCATCATTGTGTTCAGTGCTTCATATGCAGTAATGATCGTGATTCTTCATCTGCAGAATGATTGGTATGAAGCTGTGATGAATTACACCAAACAATGACCACCACTTTTCCAGGGGTAAATTTTCGTTTAGAGCTTTGTTTGTGAACTAGGGTCCAACCAACTTGCTGAGCGCTAAGCATTGTCGAACAGGATTCATTTCTATTCACAAGTAATAATACGGTTAAGAATTCCTTCATTTGTATGCCTGTTAAGCAGTGCAAGGCACTTCTCGATGCATACTTCGCGCTGGCTATCATTGATTTCGAGGGGTACCCATTTATCAAGTTATTTTTCCTTGCCATTATGACGTAAAAGGATGAATATTGTTTTGGCGCTAACGTCGAAATTCACAACGCTGCTAATTCACCCGTAGACTGAGTTTCATCAGCTTCCACAATCAACTTTGATTCGTCATTGTCAACGAAAGTTTTCGGACGATCACGAGGTTAATTTTTCAGGTTAAAATTTCTAGAATGGAAGCAGGCAAACAAGTAACAGGTGGTGCGTTCATTTGTAGTGTTCGCTCCGTAAACGTCGTTGATGTTGCGTACCGCTTGTGCCGCTTTGCTGCTACGACGGTACTACGGTAATTATAGACATACTCCATTTTTAACTTATCCATGATGACGAAAAATGTTTGAATGCGTGAAAACAAAACGCTAACTATTTAAGTTATGACGATTTTAGAATAAAAGATATCTTTGTTTTAAAAAAAATTGAAATTAGAATTATCAGCAAAAAAAAATATTTTGATTTGAAATGGCCATTACGTCAGAACGGTAATTTATAGGTAAAACCCTACTATTTGATCAATTTCGCATTCACAATACTATACCAAAAAATATTCGTAATGAAAAATGCTTAATTGACACTCTGAGATAGAATTTGAACCTATGACCTTTTTCAAGCAAGTCTCGATGGAGTTGTTTGTTTATCTATGGTAAGCAAACAGCTCCATCGAGACTTGACTATATAGGAAATCTCGAGATAAAGTTGAGCCAAGTCTAAGGTTCCTTACTACAATTTTATTATTATTATATTTAATGTTATATGACTTGCCGTTGAACATTTTTTACACGTTGGTGGGTACTGGTCAACGGTTAAGTCACATAGCGTAAATATAATAATAAAGAAATTGCAGTGAGATACCTTAGACTTGGCTCAACTTTGTCTAAAGTTTTTATTACTTTTTGTACTGGGTGATAAAAAAGTGTTTAATAAAGAATATTAAAAAAAAGACATTAGTTCCGAAATGAAACTAGATGTCGCTACGGTACTCAACAACTCATATTCTATTTGTACTTTTTCATATTTGTATTGATATCTGAGCTTCGAACATTGCAAATTACGTTTTTTTTTAATATTAGTTAAAAGGAACGCAAATGACTATCTTTGGTCCATTCGTTTTCTGCAAAAATTTACGTTTGCTAGAGTCGCCATCTAATGGAGGTGCTTTTTAGTGCTTTTTTTAAAATACTTGCTCATTGTTACAAAAGAACAAAATTTTTCAAAACGATATCGTTTATATGTTTGTAAAGTTAATTTTTTCCACGTCGTTATTTCGCACAAACATTATTTAAGTCAGGTGTCAATAAACATAGACTACATAGAGGTATTTAAGGAACTCTAATCAAATAAAAGAAGAAGAAGCTCTAACTTAAGTCTTTACTTTGTCAATGCAGGTTGGACGTAGAATAGTCGACCATACTTTATTCAATAAGATTTATGATTTTCTCTCTTTTTCAGGTGCAAATAAGTTTTTCTGTTCTAAATTCCACTTTACGATATCAATTTTCACTCTGATTGTTAACTATAATTATTATACTAACCGTGGAAACCTTTTATTGGCCATCTGTAATGTAATTTGATGTTTACATACAAAAATCATGTGCAATTGGTAATCCCGAATATATATAAAATAACTTCAAAGCCTAATTAACTCATTTTCCAATAAGACTTTTCAGTGTGAAATAAAAAAGGGAGATAATGCAGCCCTTATTGAGGTTTTTGACGGTTCTTCTTAGTACAAGGTCTCCCGCCGTAGTTTTGCGAACCATTGGCAAAGTTTTCGACTCTCACAAGTACTATGGGTATGTTCCGATA